TAAGTGAAGGGCACATACAGATGTGGCTGTAATCGTCCTTGCTGCACATATGTAAAAGTAAGTAAATAATTTGTGTCTGCATCGCTGAACAAGGCCTCTTGCACACATGGTGACCGTTTGTTTCATCAGTCACCATGTGTGAAGTTTACATCAATTTTTAATCAGGTATTCATCAGTTTACCATCAGTTTTTCATCAGTTTTTTCATCAGTTTTGTACATCCACTACCAGTGCATAACAGATGCAAAAATAGACTGTTTGTCCATTTTACATCCATTTTTCGTTTGTTCCGTTTTCTCAACAGAACAAAAATAGGACTTTGATTTGTTTCAAAAAACATCTATTGACAGATTCAGATGTAAACGGCTGATCACTTGTTTACATCCATGTTCCCATAGAGATGCATTGATGTCCATTTTTTTTTTATCTGTCAACGGATGGATGAAAAAATTGACAAATGGTCTGCATGTGTGAAAGGGGCCTAGGTTGTTACTTTTAAAATGTTTTTAAAAAGTAACAATATATATTAGGGCTGGTTAAAACGTGTACAAATAAAAAATGCAAACAAAAGCGTATATGAAAGCTCTTGTGTTTTACCTGCATTTTTATGCTTGCTTAGCTGACTATTTCCTGTGTCATCATTTCCTTTTCACAAAAAATGCAATAAAATCATTATTAGAGGATGCAAACACAACATAACTTACAAATTTCCTGCTAAATCTAAAAGATAAATCTGTATTGAGGTAATAAATAAAGCTCTGCATGTAAATTAGGTCTTGGGGCTCATTCACATGGGTGCTGTGGCCTGTACAGTGTGAACCAGTTTTTTTTTTATGTGGCTGGAGCTGTGTGCAAGGAGGGTATGTTATGCTATGGGGGTGCAACAACTGTATGAACACAGCCGCAGGTGCTAATTTCACAGGAATGTCAATGCAACTTGTACAGCCACAAACTCAAAGATTGTGTATTTGATGCCACTGACCTGCACCTGCACACATATCAAATTTGGACCTGCAGCTGTGTTCATAAAGCCGCTGTGTCCTCATAGAGTAACAGGTAGCTCCAGCCACACAAACAAACCACTCGTTTACACTGTACGCGCAAGAGAACCCGTGTGAATGAGCCCTTAATTTTCTTATTGCTTCCTACATGTTTTGATTATTTTTACATTTTTTTAGAATTCTCTGTTGCAACTGTATTTTTATTTTTTTATTTTTTCCACAATACTTTTTTGGAGGGGGGGGGGTGGCATTGAATGGTGTTAGTAAGACAGTGAATGGTGTCAGTAGTTTTTCATTTTTACAATTTAGTTTTGAATTATTTGATACAGTTTTTTTTATCAGCCCTGTCGGGGGGGCTTTGGTGAAACATAGACCCCAGAAGCCACACTTTTGATACAGAGAGAGGAAACATTCCCCAGTCCCTTTCTCTGTAGCCTCAGAGGCACTGGAGATAAATGAGTAGGAGACAGAGGTTCCAGTTCAATCACAAACTGAAGCATAGTAAACACAATTTACTACGCTTCAGCTATGAATGGACACAGCAGTGATCGATATCGATCAATCACTGTGTTCATTTAGAAAAAGAAGGGGCTGGTAAATTACATATTACCTTCCCTGAGGGGAGGGAAGTCGACTGCTGCGGGAAGGGGGGGGGCAAGGGGGGTCAGGGAAGCACACAGAGGGATCCGGAGATCAGTGGGAATCTGACAGTCGGGGGTGATCTGTGCAGCAGTGGGCAATTAAAAGAACTGATCTCCCTGCATGTCTCTCCACGAAGCCAATGAAAGCTGTAGAAGGAAGAGGAGAAGTGGCTTTCAGTTGTTGCACAGAGAGTCATACAGTGAGACTGGTTATTATATTTACCTACCTTCCAGTCCGCTGTACTGATCACCCCTGACTTTCAGATTCCCCCTGCTGCGGGTGTTTTTCTGTGTGTTTGGGCACAGCTCACTGCTGAGGGGGTGCGTAAAATGCAGCAGTGTTGCAGTTTTCTGCACTGCTGGTAATAGCTGCGGGGAAGTATGAACAAGGCACATAGAAAAGCATTGTTATCCGTGTGCCCTTGCAGAGAGCTGTGTTTTTCTTGTGCAGAAAAATGCAGCTCTGTGTGTGTATGTATGTATGTATGTATGTATGTATGTATGTATGTATGTATGTGGTTGAGGGGCTCCAGGGTACTTGTTTGATGCAGAGGAAAGTGGCTTTTCACTTTCTTCATTTGTTTGTAAAGTCCATTTTGGGATCTGGAGCCTGGAGATTTCAAAGTGATTTGGGAGGGATGAAATCTCCAATCCTGGGACTAGGTTTTGGGAATGGCCAGGAGACTGATTGGTCAGGTGTGTGTGTCTCTCTTCTAGAGTCAGGACCAGGGTTCTGGGCTGCAGTCTTTAGAGGAGTCCATGTGGGTGCAAGGTGGCACAGAGAAGTCTGAGAGCAGACAGGGCCCAAGCCTGTGGGCTGGAGAAGCAGGAGTGCTGAGAAAGGGCGCTAAACCAGGTACAGTGTGTTGTATGTGAATGGTTAAGAGGACCGAGGCATGACGCCTGAGCAGAGTTGCTTCTAAAGAGAAATAATGTGACTCCTCTTATGTAACAATAACTAATATACAGTATATCCCACCATTGTGTCTTGAATACAAAAATGTTCCACATGTACAAATTCACCAGTCCAATCCTGACTTTCTGATGCAGTGGAATTTCTTCTCTTTAGCAACACAACCGATTTAGGGGTATTTTTGTTTTTCCAGTAACACCGGCGCTGACTCACTAGACTTCCCTCTAGTGACACCACCAATGCAGTGGCATTATTTCTTTACAGTGACACCACCAGTACAGGGGCATTCTTTTCCTTACAGTGACACCACAGACGTAGGGACATTTTTTCCTTCTAGTGATACCACTGATGCAGGAACATTTTTCTTTCCAATGACAACACCGACACTGAGACATTTAATTCCTGTTGTACCACAGAGTCAAAGGCATTTTTTATTTTTAGTGACACCACCAATGCAGAGCCATTTTGTCCTCACACCAATGCTGGGGCATTTCCTCCACCACTGTTCACTTACACTGTGGGACAGAAGAACAGTGATCAAACTCTTCCATTTGCTGAGGAGTGCCATCACTATTGGCACTATTTCTGTGCATGCTTCAACCATTACATATGTAATCTGTCTCCTTCTCCGCCTGGGAGTGGGGGTTGCAATTTGGCATCTTTGCCCTGTGCACTGAATGACTTTGTTCTAGCACTGTGCGGAATGTTTACAGGCTTGTTCCTTGTCTGATAAAAATAGCACTTTAATTGTTATAAGTCTACACTGTACAGTACTTGCTCTGCCAGGTACCAAAATAGTAAACTGGTGTAGCACCCTCCTAGTTTAGGTTTAGGATGCTAGGTAAATTTAGTTTGGCTCCTCTGTAGCCAGTGAAGCACTTGTTGATTGCTTTAACCTGCTCAGTGTCTCACAGGCTGCTGGTCTGATTTTTTTCCCCCTGCATTCTAGATGAATCTGAAATTACAGTGAGAGGAAAGACAGAAGGGTAGTTTGAACATTCATGGGGATCCAGCTAATCCCTGGGGAGGTGTGCCCAGTAGGTGGTTGGAGAGCCCATAAATATTCTGAGGCCTAGAGCAGGAGTTGAGTTGGTCCTGGGTCCAGTCTTGCAGGAGGAGCCCTCTGCTCCTTCACATATCTGGCCCAGGGGGTTCAGGGTTACTCACTTGGTCCTCCTCCTATGCTGTGAGTGTGTCATTGTCTGGTACCAGGTCCTCTAGCTGGGCTGCTCCTTCCCTAGTCCTCTCTCAGGGGGCTGGTGAAGGTTCAAGTTTTCCTCTTTCCTAGGTCCCTGCCGGGAGATGAGCCCCTTCCCATCTGGGCCCCCTCCCAGACTCCTGCTCTCCAGCCTTCACATCCTCTTCCACCCAACGACTCCTGCTGCTGAGCAGGCTCTGTCACTTTCATGCATTGTCCTGGCCCCTTGCCAAGCCTCCTGTTGGGGATTGGCCATTATCCCTAAAAGGTACAGATCAGCCACTCCTAACATCCACCCACTGCGTCCAGAACTTTCCAAAGTCCCAGTGCAGGGGGAAGTCTCAGGGAACTGATCTGCAGAGCCTCTCAGCTCTGACCTGCATTTGATGAAGCTCTGACTCATCCTCTGACTAACAATTAGGATTCTAGCTCCCCCTAGCTTACTAGGAGGGTGCTACACATGGATGACTGGAATTTACAAGAAGAGGAGATCTAACAGAGCCCAGAGTACAGCCCAAAAATGTGGCTGGAGTAAGGCATGTGACCTGTAATAGTGCTGGTAACTCGTAAAGTAATTAGTCAAATTTATCATCACTTTGACACTGGAGACTTATAGGAGTCTGCACATAGGATATCAGCCAGATTGCAAGATAAAGAGGATAGGAGATGATCTGTTGACAGCAATACAGATTTACAGTACGTCAATTAAGTTTAAGTCCAGAAACGTTTCCAAAGGTATCAATTAACTATAAAAAGTGAGTTGTGCAAGCGTTGACATCTTCTTTTTTTATTAAACTGCATATTTTTCAGTACTACCTGTTTTTTCTAAAAAGAGCAAAGCTTTTATCATCCAGTTTCCTTTATTTACAATTCTTATTTGGCACAGAATATGAAGGGATACATTTTAAAGGACACTGGAGATTCTGGCTCAAGGAATCCCTTATGATTGCAAAATAAAGGTTTCTTTGGTCACATTTAATAAATACCAGTGCAGGCTATGTTAAGGTCATACTGCTACTCTATAAATGCCTCCCTGTATGATGGTGACACAGTGTTACTTAACCACTTGCCTACCAGCCACGCGGTCATGCAACACTGTACCCATATGAAATTTTTATAATTTTTTTTCACACAAATAGAACTTTCTTTTGGTGGTATTTATTTGCCGCTGGGTGGTTTTTTTTTTTTGCACTATAAACAAAAAAAAAGCAAAAAATTTGAAAAAAAAAATGTTTTTCTTTGTTTCTATTATACAATTTTGCAAACAGGTAATTTTTTCTCCTTCCCTGATGTGCATTGATGAGGCTGCACTGATGGGCACTGATAGGCTGCACTGATGAGGTGGCACGGATAGGCAGCACTGATGGGCACGGATAGGCGGCACTGAGCTGGCACTGATGAGGTGGCACTTATAGGCAACAATGATGGGCACTGATAGGCAGCACTGATGGACACTGATGGGTAAAAGGATGCTGTGATTGGCCTTTTACCACATCACATGATCAGCTGTGTCCATTGCGGAGATCGCTGGGTGCGCTGCTCCCGGGGGCGCGGGTGGGTGCATTCTGAGAGGATGTCATATGACACCCTCCCAGAACTGGACAACCGCGCTGTAGCCATCATTCGGCTATAGCCCAGTTGTCAAGTGGTTATTAAAGCAGTTTTAAACCCAAATTCAAAATATAATATATTGCAGCTTACCACTCATTAGATGTGGTGGCTTCATTTGTTTTCTTTTTTTTATGCTCTTTCCCTCTGTTTTTGCCGGGTGATCTGGTCAGTAACACACCTCTTATATTAGAGTGCCCGTACTCTGGATGAATGAGCACAGGAGGCACAGCAGACAACAGCATTGTCAGTCTGGGGGGAGGAGGAAGCGTTAAATGTACTAGCAGATTTTAATACACTAATAGATTGAAGCCAAACTCCAGCTCACACATTATAATTAGTTACAGCAAACTGTTTTTAGCTATTAGGATAAAGGTTTTAAATGAAAAAAATAAAATCTAATCATTGTAAGCACTCCTGACAGAGTTCAATTGTTTGTCTCATCCCTGTAACGGGAAAAGAGCTTGCTCTTTGAAAAACAACAAGCTTACTGGCTGGATCACCATGTGAACATAAAGGAGGAAGGAAAATAATACGGCCATTACATCTGTGAATTGTTAAGCTGCAAAATAATAACTGTTTGTTTTATACTTCTTAAAATAAGAAATATCACCAAAATAAAAATCCCCCAAGGGTCCCTGTACAAACAGCATTTTTCCTCTTAAAATCTGAGCAGTGGAAGTTAATTAAAATAAAGCATTCTCTTCTGTCATTACTGGCTGTAGCCCCACCCTTCTGAAGTAATGGCATTAAAGAACAGGAACCACAATGATAATCAACACTTCAATAACTCCTTTAGGACTAGTTCTTCAGCCGGCTAGCGTTGGAGCCCAGTCTTTACAGTTTTTCACATGAGTTCAGCCTTAGTAAAGTCTGTATGCAGTAAATAATGCTGCTAGTTAGATGGCCAGTCCCTATGTGCTTAGTATTTTGCTAACAGCAATGGGTTTATGGCAGCAGTGTATTCTCCCAGTCATATAGCAACAGGGGTCCCACTGGTCAGATGTCCGCTTACTTTTGGATCTGCCTAGAGTGACTCCAGGCCACAGCACATGGTCGCAGGCTTGTGGCAGGTTGATGTGCACCCAGAAGCAGCAATATGCACACCTCAGACTCCACACCATAAAGAGGAAATCCCTTGGTATTCAGTCTGGGAAAATGCAGTTCTTTTTCTCTCTCTATGTATATGTCTGGCTCGCATTGGTAATGATAGTCCAATAGTCCATTAACTGTTATAGTAAAGTTTCTGTCTCAAACTTCTTCTCCCATGATTCAATGCTGCCAACCATCAAGTCTGTTTGCTTGTCAGCTTCCCCTGGTGGATGGAGGAAAGGTAGTGTTAACTCATTCAGCTGAAGTCTATTGGAAGCATAGAGAGCACTGCAGTTGGTTACACTGGCAAATGTTAGAACTTAATCCACTGAACAAGCAGAAGGTAAATGTACTTTAAATTATGCCAAACAATCTGCCTGGCAAGTAATCACACTCGCAATTCACTTCTTATTGACTATGCATGACTGAAGTCCTTATAGTTCTGCTGTATTCAGTAATTGCAGATTTTTCAGCTGCCTCAGCAAATACTCATAAACTTGCTGGCTACCAGTTTGGTTTGTCCTGCTCTAGAAACACTTAACTGAAAGCCACTGAAGGGTGAGTAACCCAACAATGCCAGTTAGATTGCTTGCTACATTTTGCTATTAGTAAAACATTTTTCCTCTACTAAAACTGTGTGGGAGGAGTTTTAGCCTTGCTACGGAAGGTTTGAAGCAATGCTTAAAGCAGTTTTCCACCCAAAAGTGAAAGCTTCACTTATCTGCCTCCTCCTCACCTCTGCTGCCACATTTGGCACCTTTTTTTTTTGGGGGGGGGGGAGTGGGTACCTAGTTTTGACAGGTAACCACTCCCACTTCTGCCTCACTTCTGAGACAGAGGCTTGCCCCCCCCCTTCCCCACGCAGCCATCTAGGACACTTCACAGGTCCCAGAGGACTGTGGCCCATTCACAAAGTGCAGCATGATTCACGCATGTGCAGTAGGAAACTGGCTGTGAAGCCACAAGGCCTCACTGCCAGTTTCCCTTAGTCAAGATGGCAGTGCTGGCCCCCGACAGCCTATTGAAGAATTGGCTCAGGCTGAGGACAGCACTGGATCCCGGAGAGGTAAGTGCCATAATATTAAAAGTCAACAGCTACAGTATTTGTAGCTGCTGACTTTTATTAAATTCTTGGGAGGGGGGGGCGGAATGCCTCTTTAATCAATTTAATAGGAGATCTACAACTCAGTGCCAAAGACATGGTTACACAGCAGTGGTCAAGGCAAGAATCATTTGACTAGACCCTCTACAGTGGTTCTAAACACTGTCTGCACACATTGTGTGGGAACACCTGCCAGATTTGTACTCTACAATCCAATGGCTGTAGCCACAACTGTTTGCATGTAACTGCTCATCTGAGTGAATAGAACTTCTAACCAGCCCTGGAGGCAACCAGTGTGCATCTAGGGTCTGCATCCAGGGTTGGTCTTTTTGTAGCGTTTTGGCCACACCCAAGCTGGCTGCAGCTAATTGACTGATTTGTATTTGTTCATAGCCCATGCACTCATATGAATGTAGCTTTAACACTTTTCATCCTCTATATGGCTGGAGCTGGGTTGGCCTGGTTAAGCACTGAATATCAGTAGAGCTAGGAACATAGCTGAAAGTAATTCTTGTCAAAAGCATGTCAGTAACAAATGAATACCACCTGCTTTGGTAAGCATTTACAAAGCAGCTTAATAATAAATAATAATAATAATGCATAGCTTTCAACTGTCCCTCATTTGCAGGGACTGTCCCTCTTTTGAGACCAAATTCCTCTGTACCTCGTGCAGCCACAGTTTTCCCTCTTCTTGGTCTGATGTATAGATCTCTATATAACATGTACTGTTTTACTACCAACAGTGTTATTCTGTACTAAATGTTTTATCCAGTCTCTCTATTATTGCATTTGTTATTTTGAAAGCCAATATAAAGGAAAAATAGAGGTCACAAAAGCACTTGTTTATCTAATCATTTATTGCATATTAGATCTTTGTGGTCCATGCAACTAAAACTATGGCAGGGACATGTACTTTACCTGCACACCTGGGTTTATTTACTAAAGCTGGAGACTGCAAAATCAGGCTCACTTCTGCATAGAATCAGCTTCAAGGTTTTCTTGCCAAAATGTAATTGAACAAGCTGAGGTTAGAACTGATTGATTTCTAAGCAGAAGTGAGCTAGATTTTTCATTCTCCAGTTTTGGTAAATAAACCCCACTGTGTGCTAAAAGATGTCCCTCTTTATCACTACAGAAAGTCGGGAGGTATCTGAATTGGACATGCAGCTTTCAGCTAACATCTTAAAGGAGAAGTACAGCCAAAGCTCTTTTGGCTGCACTTCTGCTATGGATCACAGGAATGCAGTTCGTTCTGCACTCTTGTAACCCATTTTCAGCTGACAGTGGGCTGAAGCTTGCTGTTGGCTGATGTCCCTCAGTCGGTCCAGGCTGGGGAAAAAATCCTGACTTTAAAGTTGGGATCCACCTCAGAGTCAAGAGCGGCAGCTGGCTCAGCCTCTCAGTGAGCCGCTAAGAGCCTGAGCCAGCTGCTCCATCATCTTCCGCAGTGAGCGCTGGGGCAGAGCAGACAGCAATGACTGACAGTCACCACTCTCTGCCCACAGCGGCATTGAGAACTCAGTGATCAGGAGTCATGTGATCACTGAGTTCTCACACTTATACTTACCTAGGTAGATGCAGCATCTGTCTGATGCTGCATCTGCCCCCTGCTGGCTCTAATTGGGGAAAAAAAGCCAAACTTCTCTTTTAAAGCTCGCCCGTATGACACTATTGTATTGTATGTACTAGAATATAGTATAATATATACAGTGGGGATCGAAAGTTTGGGCACCCCAGCTAAAAATTTGTATTAATGTGCATAAAGAAGCCAAGGAAAGATGGAAAAATCTCTAAAAGGCATCAAATTACAGATTAGACATTCTTATAATATGTCAACAAAAGTTAGATTTTATTTCCATCATTTACACTTTCACAAAATAACAGAAAACAAAAAAATGGCATCTGCAAACGTTTGGGCACCCTGCAGAATTTATAGCATGCACTGCCCCCTTTGCAAAGCTGAGACCTGCCAGTGTCATGGATTGTTCTCAATCATCGTCTGGGAAGACCAGGTGATGTCAATCTCAAAGGTTTTAAATGCCCAGACTCATCTGACCTTGCCCCAACAATCAGCACCATGGGTTCTTCTAAGCAGTTGTCTAGAAAACTGAAACTGAAAATAGTTGACGCTCACAAAGCTGGAGAAGGCTATAAGAAGATAGCAAAGCGTTTTCAGATGTCAATATCCTCTGTTCGGAATGTAATTAAGAAATGGCAGTCATCAGGAACAGTGGAAGTTAAAGCAAGATCTGGAAGACCAAGAAAAATATCAGACAGAACAGCTCGCAGGATTGTGAGAAAAACAATTGAAAACCCACGTTTGACTGCACGATCCCTCCAGAAAGATCTGGCAGACACTGGAGTTGTGGTACACTATTCCACTATAAAGAGATACTTGTACAAATATGGTCTTCATGGAAGAGTCATCAGAAGAAAACCTCTTCTACGTCCTCACCACAAAAAAATCATCGTTTGAACTTTGCAAATGAACATATAGACAAGCCTGATGCATTTTGGAAACAAGTTCTGTGGACCGATGAGGTTAAAATGGAACTTTTTGGCCGGAATGAGCAAAGGTACGTTTGGAGAAGAAGGGGCACAGAATTTAATGAAAAGAACCTCTGTCCAACTGTTAAGCATGGGGTTGGATCAATCATGCTTTGGGGTTGTGTTGCAGCCAGTGGCACAGGGAACATCTCACGAGTAGAAGGAAAAATGGATTCAATAAAATTTCAGCAAATTTTGGATGGTAACTTGATGCCATCTGTGAAAAAGCTGAAGTTAAAGAGGATGGCTTCTACAAATGGATAATGATCCTAAACACAC